TTCTAAGTCTGAGGATGTTGATATATCAGTCATGAAGGCTTTATGACAAATTGTATTTGCATATGTTGTTCTGTTGTTGTTGTTTCCGGTCTGCCTGCCTGTCTCTCTCTTTGGAAAGTTTTCATCAAATTCCCAAAGAAGGCCAAGATAAATCTCACCAGCACCAATGTGGATTGCCTGGAGGCTGAGAACATCCAAAAGTATTTGCAGAAATGGAAGACTGCAGATTAAGAAAATTCCAGAAGGCCTACATTCTAAAGCTAATCCTGACGCTCATCAGAGTTCTGACTGGTCCCTAAAATATGCCATCCTTTAGTTTCTACTCCTATGAAATGAATGATTATCTCCACTTAAAGATAACAAGGCCAGATGCTTCAGTAAATGAGGGGTACTTGCCTACAGCTAAGTCTGAGGAGCTGAGTTTGAACCCCAGAACCCACATAGTGGAAGAAGAGTACTAATCTACTTGTTCTCTGAGCTCCATGGGTGAGACTGTGCATGTACACACACACACACACACACACACACACACACACACACAACACTCAAGCACACACACACACACACACACACACACACACATACACAATGCTGTTTTGTTTTGTTTTTAAAAAAAAAGATACCATGCCTATAGGGTACAATGTTAGCAAACACAGGAAAGGGGAAATGTCCTAAGGCCTGCACGGTCTCTTGACTGTTTTCAGAACTGCTTGAAAAATAATCACCACTGCTTTCTTTGGATGGTCTCAAAGGTGGAAACCATTTCAAATCCCCTCTCTTCTATTTAAGACAGCCAAACCTAAAGTCCATAATAATGACCTTCTAAGGGATTGGAACTGTGGAGTTCATGCAAAGACACCATAATTGTGTAAAGGCGCCTAAGAAGCTCAAAGCATAGAATACGGAGAGAATTTCCCTAAGGCTTCATTCCAGATCATCTAATAATGGCAGTGACTTGTTTTAGTTGGGGTCATCTACATCTGTTAAAATATATAACTGATAAAAACTATGAGTATCATCAAAATGGATGTTTTAATATAATCCTGAAAACCAAAGTTTTCATGGTAAACTTTTTTTCTGTAGCACAAAAGGTATCCATTCATTCCACAGGCTCTTCCATGCCTTTGTGACCCATGTGTGATTGATTAAACACAAGTGGGACCAGAGTCCTCAACCCTTTGAGTCTACATCATCACACAGTGTAAGAAATAAAAAGCAACTCTTTTTGGAGTTAAGAAATGTGCTTGCATTCTACACTATCCTAACTTGACCATGATGCCATACATTTTCAATCTAATTATCAGATCCCACAAATCCAAAGCAAACTCGTATGTGGCTATTGCTGGAGCAAATTAAATCAAGGCCTTTTCATAGGCACTTGTTAATAAAGAAGAGAAGTAGATCAAAATTGATCCTATTTTTACAAGCCATTATCAAATGAATGTTAGAGCACCCTGAAAACAGCATAAAACCAGGGTGGAAATCAACTCAATATGAGTCCATACAACAAGCCAAACCTGAAAGGAAGGACCCCTTCCACGGAGCTGACCCCTTCCACGGAGCTGACCCCTTCCACAGAGCTGCTCAGCTTTCCCGTCCTCTTCAAAGCCCTGGGACAGTTAGCAATGGGATTGAGGAGTTCTGCATGCCCCTCCCATGTGAGACTTCTAGAAGGCATTAGTGTGAGACTTCTAGAAACATCAGAAAGCAGGAGTTCTGCATCCTCCAGATGTGAAACTTCTAGAAAGCATACAATAGTTGCTCTTACTCCAGAGTGCAATATATGTCTGACTGCTACGCTAACACATTGCTTCCAGATCTCTGCATTCACTTCATCATGTGTTTCAAAGTCAAAAGCAGAAGGCAGTAATGTTTGCAAGTACCAATTCTCAAGAATAAAGATTCTGATAATCCAACAAGGGTAAGGAGTTAAACAAAACTCCAGGTACTCCAGGTTGGTGAATGGGAAGGTTTGGCAGGACCTGCCTGTCCTATTAAGCAGTTAGGGCTGGAAGGGATGTAAAAGGAAACATAAAGAAAATCAAGAGAAAACCCTGCACAGAAGAAAGAGCAAACTTGCTTTCCTTCTAAATGTCAGTTTTCCAAAAGGATACCATCTATCAGAGGCCCTGACCCCCTGGAGTGGTCTTTAAACATAAATCAAAACTAGAGCATAGATGTCAGATATCTTGGCCCAATCACTGAAAGTCAGAAATTAATTACATTTAATCAGCAAAACAAAGTTGCAAAGAAATGGAGCAACCTCACCTTTCTCCATTCCTGATCTCTAGGAAGCAAAAGCTTCCTTTCAGCAGAAAATGTAGGGACTGAATATTTACATTGGGAAGAAGACCACAGGGAAGATATGATTGTTTTATGGGATCAAATACAGAAGTCAGGTTTCCTACGGTGAAATCTCAGCTCCTGTTCTTTCAGAATGAAGAGAATCACAGTCTTTCTCTGAAATTTGGTAAGACTGCTTTAGAAGACACCATGAGATAGACTTCATCTCACCTCCAGTTACTCTACCACACACTAAACAAAGAGATTCCTCAAGGCTATAAGCACTTTCTCTTACAAGCACCCACAGGAACAGGTCAAAGCAAATGTTTAAGCAAAGCAGTTTATTTCTGACAATAGTTTAAAAGTGCTTCATGAAAAAATTTTATTCCATTAAAACTGCACCCAATATTCACACGTAACTGCCCTCGAGTAAGAGTGAAATATAGATTCACAATTGATCCTAGCCTCCAGCTTTTCTTATGCTTAAAAGGGAAAAGGTTTCTGGAGCAGAACCCCAAGTGCCTGATACTTCCTTCTTCACTCTCTATGATCAGGCCTGGAGGACTTTAAATTCCCTTCCAATCACTCCCACAAAGGCAAGAGTAAATGAGGAAATCCACAGACAACAAACCTTTCATTTCTGGGCCCCTTTCTTATCCTACCCCTTCCTGTTTCGATCTCTTAAAAGAAGCATTTCCCCTATTCTGCATTTCATGAATAAACTGCAAACTCTCCCAACGTCTGCCAGTTCCTCCTGTACTCGGTAAGAGGTGCCCCTTCCTTCCCTGGGAAGCACAAGGCTGCTCAGGATTTTAACTGGCCTAAAGCGGAAATGCACTGTTAGGTGCTCACTCACTCTTTCCCTGCCCAGTGAGAGTCTGGGGCACTCACCCTAGCTATCAGGAAACTGACTGGCCAGTCTAGCTTTGACCTGAAATTTGTGTCAGTGACTGTCACAGAAGAGGAAAAGGAAGAGTGAAAGGGCTACAAAGTAACCAACCCAGTTACTTAGCAACTAGACAAAACTCTTCACACTACAGAGGCTAAGGAGGCATCTCATGCCCATTCAAAGAGTAACAGTCTGCATTTATATGCAAATAGATAAAGACTAAAAGAAAAGAAAATCTAAATTAGCAAGGGGAGTTTACAGCAGTGGGCCTGAGGCCCAGATTCTAAAGTTTCTCTAAGAAGACAGGGCATGTATAGAATGAATGAATGAATGAATGAATGAATGAATGCATGCATGCATGCAAGGCCTCCGGCCCAAACAAGCATAGTGTCTCCCTTCATAAAAGTCAACATAAAAGTCAATACCATGGAGGAGGGTGACAGTCACACAAGTTTAGTAATAATTAAAATATCCCTGCAAGAATCTAAGGCTTAGAGAAAACTGAAAATTTGAACTTACAAAACTCCATGGAGAACAGGCTATCCACGATCATGAGTAAAGTAACCAAAATAAAAGGAGTAGCCTCTGTGAGCTGAGGGAGATGAGGGCCTCTCCAGGTCTCCAGATACCCTCAAAAGTATCCTCTAGTACCCCTCAGTGAGGTGCAGTTTACAAAGTCTGATTAGACTCCCACAATGCAAGGGAGACACATGTCCCTGAAAGGCTTTCTAAGCAACAGGGAGATACTGTCACCGACTTGGCTCAAGAAAGTACTCCAGTTTGCCTGAGGAGCTCAAACTCTGTCCCCAGCTTCCAGCCCCACAGTAGAACCAGGCTGCTCCCTTCCCAGGCTCAGAACAAGAAGAAAAAGCACTGTCCCCACACTGCATCCTCCAACCTCACACCTGGACCAAGGAAGATCCATCACTGCATCCCCCAACCTCACACCTGGACCAAGGGGGTCCCCACACTGCATTCCCCAGCCTCACACCTAGACCAAAGTGGTCCCCACACTGCATCCCCCAGCCTCACACCTGGACGGAAGCAGCCAGCAGGGCCCAGGGCTGAGACTCAAAGGACACCAGCCCAGCCACTTACTTCTCATACTCGGTGTTGTCCCTGTCACAGCGAGAATCCTTGTGCTTTTGCCAGTCTTTGCCATGTTTGCAGGTGGTGAGGAGCAGGACATCCTCCCCGTTGTGGACGTGATATAAGGCATTCCTGGTGTCTGACCCTATCCCTGTCAGGTACCTCTTCCCCTTGAATACCAGCATGTACTTCCTGAGAGGAGGGATGGTGTTGAACTTCAAAAACCCCCTCTCCCCTCCTGTCCTGGGATGATCCTTAGAAAAGAGGGGAATAGAAACATCAAAGTTGGGTCGGAAGTTTTCAGTACTGATGCTGGCTTTGGCCAGCATCGCCTGGCCGATGTCAAACCCCACGTCCTCGGTGTAGTCGGGCCAAGTGCCGGAATATAAATTAAAAATTAAATGATTCCTACCATTGTTCCACAAGTGGAGACTCTGCACTTTAGATCTCAAATTGTGCACATACTGAGGTGACAACTGGTCTCTGTCTAAAGTATCCAGACTCAGGACAAAGAGGCACGCCTGGCTGGGGTCCGAGGTGTAGAACCTGGAGCCCTCAATGGCCGCTAGAATGTTTTGGTAACTTTCGGCGATTTTCTCCCCTTTCTGCTGCGGGTAGACGTAGACTTTGAAACCGTTTTTCTTGCAAAGGGTGAAATCGAAGCAGGACTCCATGCGGCACTTCTTGCCTTTGTAGATGCTCGAGTTGGCGTCTCGCTTCTGTCGGGGGGAAATGTGCACGCTGGAATCCTCGTTTTCCAATTGATCCCAAGGAAAGAAGGGGCGCAGAGCGTCCGGGAAGCGGGGCCAGAAATGATCCGGGCTGGGCTGGTGCAAGCCATTTCGACCACTGTACTCTTCTCTCCGACTGTGGCTCCTCGATGCCCTAAACTGCACGCCTCCAAAATAAAACAAAAGGGCGAGACAAGAGCCAGCTGAGAGCAGGATGAAATAGCGTTTTTTGGCCTGCATGTGTCCTGCCTGGGTCAAGAGGATTGTAAATAAACACAAGAAACACCCAAGTTTCCCAATCAACACTTTCAGCTCCAGTCCGCCATCTTCCCGCCTGTAAAGACTTCAAACTCTCCTCTCCCACCTTCTCTGGATGCCTTTCCCCAAGCCGTGGACTGATCCAGCGCATGTGGGCGATTTCTTTAACTTTCTCCCCTTCGGTCTTTCATCTTTGGGCTGCACAGTGCACGGGAGAGAGCGGGGCTGGCTATCTCGCACCCAGGACGCGCGAGCAGCGGACTGTAATTTTCTCGCATGCAACAAGACGGAGGAAAAGAAAGAGAGCGGGGAAGAAAAAGCTCCCGATATCCAATCAATGGCAAGACGAAGTGACTGCCTCGCCTCTCGGATTCCTCTCGGCGGCGTGGAAAGCGAGCCCGGGGAAAGCAACTTCAACTCATCCACACTCCCGTGCAGAGCACTCCGGTTCCAACAAGTCAGCCGATCCGGGTTCAGCCGGCTAGTGCATCTTGCAGCTGGGGCGCCGTAACCTCACAAATCCCTGCATGTCTCTTTCTTCCCTTCTGCAGCGGCTCCCACACTCCGGCGGTGTTTACTCCTGAGCTCTCGGAGCCGGCTCCCCGGGCGCGCGGCGGCCCGGCCG